ATATCCCCAACCTCCATTGTTTAACATCATATCTTCTTCCTCTAATTAGGTTTTCATCAAAATCCTCCAATTTTAATTACAAACATTTCTCATTCTTTCGAGACCTAAATATTATATTTATATGGCGGAGGTTTTGCTACCGAGGCAAATGGAGATCGCTAAAGATCTTTCAAAGTTTGGATCACCGGATCTTCTTCATGTTCTTGCCGTCGACGACAGTCACGTTGATCGGAAATTCATCGAACGTTTGCTCAAAGTCTCTTCTTGTAAAGGTAATTATTTTATATCTTTTTTCACTAACTCATCATTATATATATTTTGAGTTCTGAACAGAACCTCTGTTTTTTGTTGTTTCAGTCACTGTTGTCGATAGTGCTACAAGAGCTCTACAATATCTTGGATTGGATGTTGAAGAAAAATCAATCGGTTTTCAGGTAAAGATTTATATCATTTTCGGAAAATTTGATAGAGAGATTTATGTTTTGTCTTTTGAGTGTTATGAAGATCTCCCCATTCGCTTCGAGATTTTGTAATATTGATTCTGTTTCTGGTGATATTGATATTGTAATAATTATATGATCTTTATTCTTGCTTGCCTAATCTTTTTGGTAAGGGCATTGTGAAAGCCACCTCACATGCTTTTTTCATTTTGCATTTTAAGAAAACTCTAGACCAAATTAAATGGGATATGGTTTTTGTGTATATAACTCAAAAAGTATATAAATAATACAATGGTCAACTCAATTTATGACCTGTCCATCTTATTGTGATTGTTTGCTACATACACAACAACAAAAATCTTATTGATCCAACAATTCAAGCTATATCAACTTTACTGAAATTTGAGTTTACTTAAAAACTGATTTTTTGTATTTCTTGTGTCATTTAGATGTCTTGAAGAAGGAGCTGAAGATTTCTTATTGAAGCCGGTGAAACTCTCAGATGTAAGAAGACTAAGAGATTCTCTAATGAAAGTTGAAGATTTAACTTTCACAAAGAGTATTAAGAAGAGAGAGCTAGAAGAAACAGAGAATGTCTACTCTTTGGATTCATCTGTTCACTCGCATCTCAAACGCGCAAAGATTTAAGCTTTCCGATGCAAATTCCGTGATATGACCGCGAAAAAAGCTCTTATAGAGAGGATGCAATTGAGCCTACCCTGATGGATTCTCTACAACTTAATAACCTATACAATTTTCTATCCTTTAGTGGCCTTTTTTTGCTGATTGAATCCAGTGGGAAGAGGGTTTATTCACATGGTAGTAGTAATGTAGATGGTAGAGTGAGATCAACAAAGCTATACTGTATTATTCATTAGAGTTCATAGTTTTTTTTTTTTTTTTCCTTACAAGGGATTGATTATTTGTAAGCTGATTTAATGCAACTTTCTAAGATGCCTCACTTTATGTGAATAAAACGATTTGTTGGTTAATCATAAACAATTAGAAGTTTCTTACTAAGCTAATGGCGATGAATTACGGCGAAATTAACTCAAAAAGGAGACCTGACAAAATATTGAGGATTGATCTCTCGTGAGTTTATAAAACAATCTTTGGTAATGAAGTAACTTGTAAAGATGATACACCATAGCAACAAATCAACCTCTTAAACCTTCAATGGTGGTGTCTCACGAGGAATCCCTTCCTATTAAAAGAGAAGTACAATTACTTAGAATGATTATTTGTTTTAATTTTATTGGCTCAAAACTATGACTTGTCATGGAAAAATTATGACATGTCTATAAAAAAACATGACATGGTTTAATCTCTAATTACTTGTGTCTATCTTCGATCTCTTACCATCAAATCTTCTTTTTGGTATGTCATAATGTGGAACATAAACCTAATTAAAAAGCTAATTGCTAATAAAAAATTCACAATATTAAATCATAATTTTTATTTTTACAAAATACATTTACGGCTACACACAATCATTATATAACACATATCTCCACATCAATATCATAAATTAATAATAACAAATTATAATTTTATTCTTACAAAATATATTTGATCCCGCATACGGTGCGGGAAATCATCTAGTATTATTGAAAACTCAAGAAAAAATAACAGCATTATTGAAACTATTTATTTTTATGTATTTGAATTTTCTGTATCACCTTTTATGTAT